CAGTTTAGGGTATTTTTAACACCTTGGATTTTGTTCTTATTGCAAATTGCAAAATGTATTTACTCACGAATTCCCCAAGGATTCAAAATCTGCAGCAGCATGTTCAGTATCTTGATGGAAACACAAAACACAGGAAACACAAAGCTCAATTAAAATAAATATTAAGTATGAGGAAAATGCATGCAACTTCCTGTGCACTTTTGCAGTTGAGAAAATATGAGTTTCATGAATGGAGCTTTTACGCCCTCTGCAGGAGACTGATTCATTGCCATTGTGTGACATTTGCAGCTTTATCAAGTCTTCTGTGCTGTAATTAGGGTGTAAATATATCTCTAATTCGAGATTATTTTGAGGGATATACATAGAGGGAGGGAGATATCGCTTTTGTGCTTGAATTTAATACCAATAAACAAAGGACACAATAAATCAACTACACAATATTCAATTTATATTCTTTATATTCAATATGTTTTGTTTATATTCAATATATATTCGGTGTTTGTGTCCTATTTTATCATAACATAAACACACAAACCTAAAGGGATAGTTCACCCAGAAATGAAAATTCTGTCATAATTTACTCACCCTCAAACCTGTATGACTTTCTTTCTTCTGCTGAACACAAAAGAAGATACAAATATAGGTTGCAACAGCCTTTATGAGTCATAGTCTCCCAGGAGAACACATGTGGTGCAATTCATTCATGTAGGACTAAGAGAAACACAAATGCTCTCATATGTTTAGTAATATCTTAAAATGCTTAATACCATTTCAACAGAAGTGGCCAATGAAATGGTGTTCATTCACAAAACTGGTTTGGAAATTGTGTCTACATATGCAGACTATAGAAAGTACAACTCTGTCTTCAAAGGTAATTCATGTTATTTTTTGAGGATGAGAACCTTTGCCATAAAGATGGATTACATTTATGCCAATTATATTGTTATCACATCTAATTTTACTCCCAGTTTAGGGTATTTTTAATACCTTGGATTTTGTTCTTATTGCAAATTGCAAAATGTATTTACTCACGAATTCCCCAAGGATTCAAAATCTGCAGCAGCATGTTCAGTATCTTGATGGAAACACAAAACACAGGAAACACAAAGCTCAATTAAAATAAATATTAAGTATGAGGAAAATGCATGCAACTTCCTGTGCACTTTTGCAGTTGAGAAAATATGAGTTTCATGAATGGAGCTTTTACGCCCTCTGCAGGAGACTGATTCATTGCCATTGTGTGACATTTGCAGCTTTATCAAGTCTTCTGTGCTGTAATTAGGGTGTAAATATATCTCTAATTCGAGATTATTTTGAGGGATATACATAGAGGGAGGGAGATATCGCTTTTGTGCTTGAATTTAATACCAATAAACAAAGGACACAATAAATCAACTACACAATATTCAATTTATATTCTTTATATTCAATATGTTTTGTTTATATTCAATATATATTCGGTGTTTGTGTCCTATTTTATCATAACATAAACACACAAACCTAAAGGGATAGTTCACCCAGAAATGAAAATTCTGTCATCATTTACTCACCCTCAAACCTGTATGACTTTCTTTCTTCTGCTGAACACAAAAGAAGATATTTTGAAGAATGTGGGTAACCAAACGGTCCCCATTGACCTCCATAGTACAGAAAAATATGGAAGTCAGTGGATAACAGTCAAACAACTTGAGGGTGAGTAAATGATGACAGAACTTTCATTTTTGGGTGAACTATCAAGTACTAGAATTTGTAAAGAGCAGATACAGTCAACTGATTGGTGGCTCAAATGTCACAAGTATGTTTTACGATGAAAAAAAATATATTACAACACTTCAGCAACAATCAGTTTATCTATCCACTACGAATGCGAAAATGGGGTGGGACTCTGAAGAAAGTAAAACTAAGCACACCTTGGCTTCCATGATGCTTCTACAGGCGGGATCCTTATCATGGTTTTCCTTGTGGAACTCTGGGGATTTATCATTAGCCTATATGTATATCCAAATCTAAATCTCTAAAGTTAGTCATCCACATTTTATAGTCAATATACATGAAATGGGGTATTGGTCCAATGAGATTTCATAATAATAAAAAAAAAAAAACTTTAAAAAACTTTTGTCACTTATTGCTTTATTGTTTTGCACCTATTTAGGGTGCATTCTTAGAAAGTGATTTCAAATAAGCATCAGTCAGCCTGAGATTATGGGTTAAATTAAATATATGCTTCATCAGAAACATTACAGCAGAGACGGGTCACTCATATCCACATTATATTTCAACAAAGAAGTAAGCTATTTCCTGTGAATGTGCAAGACTTCCGATTCATTAGCCGCTAAGGTATAGAAAGTGCAGGAAATGCTAAAGCTATTTGTGGTATACTGATAAATAAAATTAATTACAATAATGAATTAAAAAATAACAAATACCAGTTTGGAACATCAAGCAGCATAACGGACTGTTTTTGTACAGCTAAAATAATTGGTAGTGGCTCACACCAGTAGCCTTGCACATTCAAGGTAAAAATGGCATAGCCCCACAATTGTGTTTTAAAAAAAGGTGGATATAAATGTAAGAAATTGTACTGCTAAATATGGCTACTGCAGTCCCAACATAGATGTCAATGGCCGAGCAACCACTGAAGAGCACAAGATATTTCCCATTAATTTTAACCAATCAAAAAAAAATCGATTGGGAAGCTCTCTGATTAGTGGATCTCACATCAGGTTGTAATACACACAGTGCCTCATTATTAGAATTCGGCTTTGCATTTTGTTTCCAACTGATAGGTTTATAATTAAAACAAAAACTTCAGTTAACACCAGCATCTCTTTCATTAGTAGCAGTGCTGCTACATCTTCAAGTAATGTCAAGTAATGAATTTAGTGACAACAGCAACATTGAAGAGGGGAATCAAAAGAACTAAAACATAAACACTGAAAACCCCTGTTATGGAACCACCAGCAGAAACATAAATCAGTGACTCTGAATCCCACCCAGTTAAAAGAGCCAATCAGTTTTTGTTTACTGTGGAATGCAAATACGCAATAGCATGCCTGAAAAACTAACAAAGTACATTTTATTTTACATTGTTGTCAAATTAGCAATTTAAAAATAAACAAAATACGTTATTTGAACACAATCTTCTTGACCAACAGATTTGGAGATGTCTGTTTTTTGGAAATCCACACAATTTTAGCCAATCAGAACCCTACAGAAATGCTCTCTGTGCATGCAGTCATTTTGGGTTCAGGTCTGCTCAAAGATGTCTATAATATCTAGAGAATCTACCCCTTAGCATTTCAGTTTATCTCTGTGGCAGCTGCTAAGTAATCACATTGAAATGTACTTATTTAGAGCACAAGCTTTTGAATGGGTGTCAGTGGAGAAAAATGCTTTTTACCACCATGTAGTTCCAGCAAATACCAGCAGGGGCTAAAGGGAACAAGATAAACCAAACTGATATCTTGTTTAAAATTCCTGTGTAAACATTCTCTTCACATGTACTGATGAATGCACTTTACCTGCATATTGCAGGATTGTTTTGGGGTTTAAGATAGTTTGTACTGAAACAGTTAATGCTGGTCCGAAATGATTTGGAATTTTTATCTGGTTGTTCCTTTATTGAACTCCAGAAGGATACCTAAAAGCAGAGACCAGCAGGAGCTACTCACAGCCAGGAACAGTACAAGGTTTGTTAAACTTTTATTCTTATCATTATTTCTTCGGGTGTTCAGGACTAACAGTATCTGTGTTGTCACTGATTACTCATGATATGTTCGCTTTTAACTGTGAATGACCCAGAATAACACTTTGCTAAGTCACCACTACTGGGTACAAATCTTGTAGGCTATTCCACTTCAGAAAACCTGGTATAAACTTACTGTTAAAATGTAAAGAAAAAGGGTAACATTTTATAATAAGGTTTTGTTAACATTAGTTATTATCTAACAATGAGCAATATATTTGTTACAGTATTTATTAATCTTTGTTAAAGTAAACTAATAATAAAAATATAACTGTTCATTGTTAGTTTTTAAGTTAGCTCAGGTCTAATAAATAATAGGCTATTAACAGATACAACTTTTTAATATGTGACCCTGGACCACAAAACCAGTCTTAAGTCGCTGGGGTATATTTGTAGCAATAGCCAAAAATACATTGTATGTGTCAAAATTATTGTTTTTTTTATGCCAAAAATCATTAGGATATTAAGTAAAGATCATGTTCCATGAAGATATTTTGTAAATTTCCTACTGTAAATATATTAAAACTTAATTTTTGATTAGTGATATGCATTGCTAAGAACTTCATTTGGACAACTTTAAAGGTGATTTTCTCAATATTTAGCTTTTTTTTTTTGCACCCTCAGATTCCAGACCTTCAAATAGTTGTATCTCGGCCAAATATTGTCCTATCCTAACAAACCATACATCACTGGAAAGCTTATTTATTCAGCTTTGTTCAGATGATGTATAAATCTCAATTTCGAAAAATTGACCCTTATGACTGGTTTTGTGGGCAGGGTCACATATATTAGTAAATGTTGAAATTAACATTAACTAAGATTAAGAAATGCTTTAAAATTATTTTAATTGTTAGTTCATGTTAAGTAATGTAATATGAACAAATTAAAAGAGTAAAGAGTTAGGCTACAATAAAAATATGGGTGTGATTTCTGATATGGCAAATATTTTTATTCACTTCCTTTTTTGTATAGGCTACTACTGAACTGAAAGCCTTAACTTCCAATTTAAAAGGTGTAAAATTATACTTTATTTATAAAGGAATGAAAATTGGTTAATGAACAGTTAATGGTAACATGTAAACACAAACAACAGGAAATAAAAAAAATCCCCAACACAACAACGTAATGCTACAATATGGTTGTAAAACTACAATGTATCTGTCGTGTGCTTTGAGTTTGTGTTTACATCGTTTTTACAGCCCCTCAAGTGTCCGGAGGGAGGCGGATCCAAGCATCCAAGTCAGACATGGCCCTTAACACGCTCGCGGCGTAACTGTCGCGCGGGAAACAAAGGCTCGACTGCTGTGAAGTCAGCAGTCGCGCGCTCCATCCGAAGCTATGTGAGTCTGCTGCTGCTGCAAAGGGACGCCAGAACACATTCACCGTCGGGTTGAGCGCCGCTCCCTGGAAAACAGAGAGCACACGTCCTCGCCAAGAGCTGAATTTGCAATCCGAGAGAGTCACCGAATTAATGCCTATCATTAGAAAGTAGTAGCCCAGTCATATTGATCGCCTATATCGTTTACGCCTCCGAGCGGGGGGTTGTTTTCTTCTGAGCGGGCGCGAGAGAAACATTCGCAATCAAAAGGGAACGGTCTGACCATTGAGTAAGTATTCATTTCAGATCAATTGTTATTTTCCTGCGGGTTTTATTGTCTTTCGTTTCCTGGCATCTCTGTTTTGTTGTTATGCTTTAGTCTTGGCATTGCGATGGCGCTTTAAATCGTCTGAATGTCTTGAATACATTTCAACAACCGATTGCAATGTAACAATGCGAAATAAGTTACATTTTCCTTTTCACAGGGAGTACAGATGGGTTAATAAGCTATTTAAAGGTTATGTCTTTCATCATATGTTTACATAAACTGCAGCATTAGTATCTTCTGTAATGGCCCAATAACACGCTGGTGCGTTTTGCAGCGCATCCCCGTGGTACGTGCTCGGGTGTGGGAGAACCACATCTAGTAATATATTGATGAAACTGGGCGGGATGATCCAATATGGCCGTGTGGACCTGGATTTAGCAGCATATGATGTGAAATATTTTCGTATTCATTTGGATTTCGGCCATTTAACCGTTCAAATGTGAAATAATTTCCCCGCGCGTGGAATCAAATACGCTTCACGTCTGACAGGATTCTGACGCGTTTTATTCTATACATATTAAGTAAAATAGTTCATCTTTAATAGTTGTGAAATGTGTCGTTTTGTGTGGAGAATAACAAGACGCACGTGAAGGGGGAATTGGACGGTGATGTCAACCCTGGTACATATCCAATGCTAAAGCTTTGTCAGTCAATGTTACGCTCCTATGAACATTTGAGGCACTAGGTCATTGGACCCACCAAAGCAGGTTGATGAAAAAAAAAATCAATGAGGTTCTTCTGAAATTAGGATTGGTGCTCTAGAAGTTACAGTGCATTATTATGAGTTGTGCAAATGTTATAGCCTATTGGGTATGACAAGAGTTCATGAAGAAGAACCACATAAACTCTTTGGAAGGATTTCTTAATTTAATTTAGCTTTAGAATAAGAGAATTAGATACCCTTAGGGCTGGACAATAATTCAATATCAATATGTATCGCGATATAATTTTTTTCAATAACGGTGATATGATTTTAAAACACATTTCCGATATTACGATATACATTACCAGTGTTTCCCATACATTGATTTATTTGTGGCGTTTGACTTCGTTGAATAAACATGAGCACTGCACGTTTCAAAACATCTATTGTGGGAATTCTTGGCAGTTTTTACGAGGCTTTTTTTAATAGTGTTCATATCGATATCGGAATTATATCGTATCGACCGAAATTAAGAAATATATCGTGATATAAATTTTGGCCATATCGTCCAGCCCTAGATACCCTTGGGAATTTCTTATGGGTATTTAGAATAGTTCAATTTATAATTAAAACAAGGCCTGTGGTTAATAATACTTGAAAGGTCTTTCACATTTTTGTTTAAGCAATACGATGTGAGAGGTATTGATAAAGGATCTCTCAAAACGTACACTTACTACGAATTAACAATATTAAAGGCACAATATGTAAGATTTTTTTTAATTACAATATCCAAAAACCACTAGAACAGTGTTATATATTTTGCTGACTTGTGTACTTACATTATCCCAAATGTTTCGAAGATTGTTTAAATCCAAAGAAATAAGCAATTTTATCTAGTGACACGGACCGCGTCCATTGTGTCATTCCACATACTCACGACCGGAAGGAGCGGAAGCGGTTGACTGGCATAATAAAAGCTCCGCTGCTTTCGAGCCGTTTGTCACACTTGTTCAGCGGCCTCGTTTCGCTTCAACGGCTTTCAGCCTCACCCTGCTTCATACTACGACATTAATAAATCATTAGCTCATCCATGAACATGATTTCTGCCCGAGTCCCGTTGGATTGCATCGGCTGTGGGGATGAAGACGACAACTCCCATGATTCCACACTCAGTCACGGCGTCATCAAACTACGCCTTTGTTTCTTTGTTTATTTTGAGAATACCCTCTCTGTTTTCTAATTAATCGTTACAGATTTTGTGAACAATTCGTTGATGCATGTTTCATAAATTATTTTTTTTTTTGACCTTGTAATATTTAACGAGTTCGTTTGCCCATATAATCTTAAGGAAATTGTGTGTAAACTTATTTGGCTTGCTGTCCACTGATGAGGGGCTCGATGAAGCAGCTTCAACTCGAGCTCTGATATACCCCCAGGGACTTGATATAGGATGATTACGAAGGGCAAGGTACCTAAGATGAAGGTGGAGTTTTGGGGAGGTGGAGGGATGCTGGAATAGCTGAGGCTGGAGAGAGGTAAGCAGCTGCTTATATACTCTGGCTGTTGATTGAAAGATTAGATGGGCTCGCTCCTCCCTAACTTACGTTAAGGAACTTCATTTAATGAAAAATTTAAAATGCCATAACTGGACCTTCCGGTGCAAACAACAGATTTATCTGTGACATGCAGGTATTCTCCAATCATTACATCCGCTTAAACCCCGCCACTGCAAGCTTGTGTTCAATCGCCAAGTCCTGCCTTAATCCATTATACTTGAATGTATGTCACAATATGGACGAAATGATTTGTCGCTTCTTCCGTTTAATTTCACAGATGTTCATTAAACATTGTTTTATTCATTCATTAACATTGTTCTAAGTGCCATGCTTCCCCTATGAGATATAGTGTAGTCCCTGTGACATAGCATCATTTTACTATGCAACAACAATGATGATCCACTATACTGACTGTGCAGAGATGTGATGAACAGGTGTTTTACATACAGCTGTCACTAAATTTCTGTAGCCTGTAGTATTCCACAATATAACAGGACTGCAGCTACAGTATCCATTTTATAATGTAAACAGCATAAATTGCACGTAGTCATTAATAACTGTCAAGCTGCTGTGTGAGAATATGCTACTAATAGCTACTAAAACGTGTTCACAAATTTTAGACCAAAATTGTTTTAAATGTTTCAGTCAACAAGCTTCCAATAAGGACTCAAAAAATATCTATGCCATTTTTTCAACACAGCAACCCTTATCTGCCAGGGTCCCCAGCTCACATTCCTTGCTGAGAAGCATTTACTGTATAATACTACGTAAATAAATTCTAATTCATTTAGATTTTTTAAAATTAGTATTAAATTTAAGAATTCCCCATCAGTGTATACATTACTCAGTGGCATGAGTGCATTTATATGTTTTACATTGCTGCTTAAATATGACGTCTGGTATTATGCAATTAGTTATGTGGTCACATGGGGTCTGTCACTTGATGGGTGTAGCCATCCAGCAGCAAGGACTCTTGACAGCTGCCATGATTTGACACAGTTAAAACTGAACAGCTCTGGACTGTCACTGATATTTTAACCTTTCACCTATATCTCTTCCTTTCTCTATCAGGACTCTGTAGCAGATAATAGCCCGTAACAGACTCTCCTCATTTACTCAAGCCCTTCCTGCTCACTCCAGTTCTTATGAAAATATCTTTATGACTGCTACAAAACACAAGTGCACACTTAATGACTTTTTTTTTTCCACAAATGGCCAATTTAGAGGAGACTTTTCACCACAGCTAATGTACATTTAAATATTTTGGATGAAGTGGTTATGGACTACGTTTTCTTAGGGTGGAAAATCCACTTGAATTTTATGAATTGTAAGACAGTCATCTCTAAAAACCAGAAGGTTCCAGCAAGATAAACTATTGAAGTGTAACAGCTATAAAAAGGTGACCTACATTGTATATGTTTGAAATCTATATGCACTCATGGTCTAACAGTTTTAGGAGGTTAGTATCCTCCCTTCCTTTTCTTCTCCCCATGGTTGGTTGGGCCCTGGCTCATGGCATGTCTCAGAAAAAAGGGAGTGCTTGAGTCCTTTACTAGTCAGGCTGGACCTTCTCAAAATCCTCGTTGAAGTTTCTCAAGTCTCCCTCCCACATTCCTTGCAATCAAATAGCACTTAGTATGTAACTCTGTTTGTGTTCATGACTTAGTTGGGTGGCCTTTTTAGCTCTTACAGGATAAGTTTTGATTTCTTGAACATGCATATTTTGTAAGTGTCAAATGTCCACTAATTTGTTTCTCAACCACCACCAGAAAGTTTCTAAGATTAGTCTGGATTATTTTCTTAAAGTTCTCTACAGAAACACTACAAATTAACTGATTGAACATCTGCAGTTTGCAGTAACAAGAATCCCTTCAGATGGCATGAATTGCTTAATGTAGCGGGCTTAAAATTGAGTTATATATCCTACAAGTCATTAAAATCTACCAAGAAAAGACTCTCAGGAAAGGTTTACATCACCATAAAGATGGGCCTGCTTTGTTGTAACTGTCATTGGCTACGTTTACATGCACAATTTTTGGTTCAATCGGACTGAATTCATTCCGATTGATGAATCTGAATGTAGTGTTTACATGAACGCTAAATAAAGTGATCGGGTTGATGTGCGCGTTTATGTCACAAGCTTCAAATCGAAATAGATTTTTTTTTACATGCGCACACTGCACAAATATAGAGTTTCTCACTGTTTGCACATAATAACCACTCTCCTACACGGTTTCTTTATTTGTTTTTAACAGCAGAATTAATATTTATCCATATTATCGATCATAATATGTGAAATATATATGAAAATCCATTTATGGATAAATATACATATAAACCGCTGTGACGTGCTGCTCATATTTATCACTCAGTAAAAATGCCCCTCTCTGCGCCCAAAACGGGTTGCCTGTGAATGAGAATCCAAAACAAGGACTGGTGGGAGGTTGTCCTGCTCCACTTCACAGTTACCGAGTGAAAGGAAAGTTTTATAATGACAGGACACGCATTTATACAACACTTTATTCAAAAGGAAGAACCGCTCGTTC